AAATTGAGTGTATGTGTTTGGGAAATGGTATTTTATTTCCAAATCGAATGCATTTCAGTTAGAGATAGTGCATGCAGTCTGCAGGTCCCAAAATCGTTTCTCCAAAGTACAAGTGTGGTATCTGTTTTTTCCCCCAGAACTGTGTCAGGTGGAGGAAAATTGCAGATTTCAGCATGTTTGCATGCAGCAATAACAGTGTGAGCTAACACTGTGTTAGAGCAGAGGTCAACTATTTGCCCATTTTCCCAGCCACTCCCCACATGCACGAAGCTGCCTTCCGCCTATACGTATACAAAACAATCAATCAAGGAAGTCCAACAGATGTATCCTGTTTACCCCTAGAAAGAAATTTAAAAATTCCATAGGTTAGCAGAATGTATGCATGCTAAGTTTTTTGTTACTGTGTATAAAAAAAAGCTTGCTCTGCGCTTGTAAGTTGTGCTCCTCCCTCTGGCATTAGTCGAGGGGGGACACCCGCTCAGCTGACTGATCAATAAAGAACTTGAAGCCGTCTTTTAGACTCCCATGCCTCCTTGGGGTAATTGGGCAGCTCCAGGGGGAAACGAGCCCATTTGGCTAACAATGGCACCCCAGATGGGACTTCTCTCCCTGTAGGGGGCGCTGACCGACAGCCGAGGGCGATTCTGAGGAGTGGCCACCTCGAGCTGTTGCTCGGGCTCCGGATCGTCACAATCGGCCGGGGCGGCTGCGTCCTCTCTAAAGAGAACTGTGAAGGACACGGAAGCAAGATGGCTTCAGAAGAAGGGGGAAGTTCGACTGCCGGATGCGGCCACTTCGGGCGGTAAGTGCATTTACCTCCTGGGTTCGAGGAATAATGCCCCCGAAGTGTGGGTTGGACGGTGGAAATCCCCTAGGCAGCCTGTACATGGAAAGGTATATTAACATCATTGTAGCTTTGTAAATGCCTTGTTGTTGTGTTTCTGGTTAAAGAGCAAGCAAGTAACGGCCAATGAGTAACGTAACTAACTCCACAAGTCCATGGGCCGTTCTTAACAATTATTGGGACTTGGAGCAACTTCAGGGGTTACTCTTGTTTCTCCTCTTAATGGTGTGTTGGAAACTGAGATTGTAACTGATTAAAGGATCTGTGTGAAAGTTGAATGAGTGCCACTGACAGTTCTGAGGCTTAAGCTGACTTCAGCCGCCCCAAGTCTCCTGCGAGGGGAAACCCAGTGACCAGGATATCTTGATTGCAAGGGGGGTCAGCCAAACCTCGTGACCCAGCAGATATCTGAGTTAGAATTAGATCCCGACCCCTTCCCCCTCTTGATACCTCTGTCTCGAAAAACTCTGGGTAAAACATAATGGGGTCCGGACAAAGCACCTTCTCCAGGACACCCCTGGGATGTATGCTGGATAACTGGAAGGCGTTTAGACGCCAGGCTGATTATGGAATTGCATTATGTAAAGACAATCTTGTAAAATTCTGTACTCTTGAATGGACGACATTC